CATTTTTCTGTTTGTTTTCAGTTCCCAGTTCTGCACCAGTGCTTGTATCGACAACGAACCTGTCATCGTCCTCTATCGCCGTGGTGTGGCAGCGACCTCTGGAGGCCAACGGGGAAATCACAGAGTATACCGTTAATCTGTCCGGTCCGGGTGGCTCGAACTCATCACAAACTTCAAGCAACTCGGTCATATTTACGAACCTTTTACCATACACACCCTACAACCTGACCATTACGGCAGCAACGCGTAAAGGCTCTGGGCACCAGGGCCTGTTGCTGCAGCTGCACACCGACGAAGACGGTGATTTTATTTATTTATTATTGTTTTTTATTTTTTTTAATTTATGTCTGCGAGTTGCATATGTGTTTGTAAAGAATCTCACTTCTGTCCACTAGAACCCATGTCTCCGCCGCGTAACCTCATGATATACAACTACACGGCTGTGTCTGTATGGCTCAGGTGGGAGCCCCCCCTGCAGCCCAGTGGTGTAATACTGCAGTACAGCTTCCGGGTTAGAGACCTCATCACACACAGTGTCACATATCAGGTACTACAATTCATTGTTCCATCTTTGAACCACTGACTATCACTCCATTCTGGTTATTGTTTTCCGACACACTGAAATGTTGCTTTGATTTTAAAAGTAAGATATCATCAACGTAATCAGTGTAAAGCTACTTGAGGCTGAGACTCGCTGTTATTTCACAGTCCAGATGACCGGAAGAAGAACCTTATGTAATGCCCCTATGTTACTGCCTCTTCTTTAACACTCGTGTGTATTTTGTTTGTACCAACGTAGAACTCCTCTGATCCATCCACCACAGCCTATCTGTCTGGTTTCAGGCCTCATAGCTCCTATGAGATAAGTGTTTACAGTTACACCAGTGTAGGCCATGGAAATCAGTTCAGCAGACCCGTGACCTTCACTACCAACGAGTCAGGTAAAGTACAATAATAATGAGTTCATACTGCTGACACTATTCAGTAAAAGCTAACATTGTTTGGTTG